TATGACTCTTCAAGAGGTACTGATTTGACGGCTTCGCCCGTTTATCTATCTGAGCGGATTCCTTCTGACATACTTATTGATGCGGAGCGCACCGGATACGGACGATACAACTCGTCCTAACCCTTGTTAATGCAGTACGATTAAACATTCTACAAGCTGCATAACTCGAGTCATGTCAGTAATTGTTGAGCTCACCTATAAAGCTGCATAGGAATTATATGTGATGCCATCACTCACTGACTGCCCGGTTGGGCCAGTTTTTCACTATAACTTTTTAGTGTAAAAGAGATACTGTTACCCTTGAAGATATTTTATCAGACGGTGAAAATGTGGGATATTGCTATCGCGGAGTATAAAGGCCCATGGTCAGAACTCGAGATATGCAGGTGTTTACCTGAGTCAACTGGTCTTCCTCGTATCAGTTTGATGAGTGTGGAACTGTATGTTGCTCCAAATATAATTTTACGGACTTGCGCGCTCGCCTGCCTGGCACGTTTGACAATGCGCATCTCGTGCTAGTCTGCAATGATACCACCTATCAAAATAGGCGATTAACTTACGTGATAACATTCAAAGCAAGGTCAAGGAGGGGCGCGTGATCATCTATAATTCATGCGTCAGATAGCAGCACAGAGCAATAACAGGTACATTTATTGTGTGCGAATTAATGTGCGTGGGCCGCGATCGCTGGCGATTAAATCGCCACGAATTTTAATCGCCGATCACGAAGGCGGCCACGTAGCGAATTTAATCGGCACCGATTTAACATCACATGAATATCAACAACTACCGTCGATTGGTTTAGAAAAAATCGATCGGCGACAAAATGAACGCCGGAGCCACGGGCACACGAAGCGAATTTGCCCAGCGTATAATAATGGCCGGCGTAATAATCGCCCCGAAATATCTAACATTTGTGGATACGCGGCGATTCGTGGCGGGCGATTAAAATCGGGTCTGACGTGAAGACGGCCACACGGGCGAATTTTTTTGACGACGATTTTAAAATTCGTGGCGATCGGGCGATAAAAATCGCTCGTGTGCCCCTACCTTTATCTTCACTATTTCTATTGAGACTTACTTGGAAACCTCATCGATCTTTTCGGTAGTGTCCATCTGTGAAGACACCATCACCTGGAACAGCTTGTCCTCGTTGGCAGGGCCGAATATGCCATTCGGTAGCTTCCGCGCAGAAATTTCTGCAAAGAATTCAAAATTATTCAGACTACTGCTCATGTATTATATCCACTACAATTACTAACATATTCCACATTCTCAACATCTCCATTTCCATTCTCCATTCTCCACATTTCCATTTCCATTCCATTCTCAACATTCACTACAATTCCACAACAAGCTCAACATTCTCAACAAGAACAACAACAACAACATGCGTATATAGCTTGCATGCTACTAATTGCCACTATCACAATAAATTTTTTTTATACAGGACGATAAGACGAATTATTCTTTCGAATGACTACGAGTTAATCAATTAAGGAACGTCAATTACACATGAAAGATTTAGGTGTGAATGACACCAGTATGATCCCACGTCATAGCATCATGATCATGATCGTCAAAAGTCAGCAAAACGTTATATCTAATACATATTTGTGAATGTATGTCTGTTTGTCTGTTCTCGATGCAAATCAATACGAAGCAACTCTAAAAATGTCAAAAGACGTTCAGTAGGGTAAGTTTGGTGTTGAGATCAGATGAATTCATGGGCAATTGGAGTTTGACCTCTGAGGTCATCTAAGCCAAAAAAACGCGATAAATGAATGGGTGGGGGAATGGATGGATGGATGGATGGATGGATGGATGGATGGAAATGGATGGATGGATAGATGGATAAGATAGATAGACTATGATAGATAGATAGATAGATAGATAGATACATACATTTTTTACGCTTTATTTCCCGGGCAAGGCCGGGTGTCCGGCTAGATGATCTTTGTGCATTGTCGTTTTAGGGGTCATCGTCTCATCGTGTGTCCCTAGATGATCTTTGTGCATTGTCGTTTTAGGGGTCATCGTCTCATCGTGTGTCCCTAGATGATCTTTGTGCATTGTCGTTTTAGGGGTCATTGTCTCATCGTGTGTCCCTAGATGACCTTTGTGCATTGTTGTTTTAGGGGTCATCGTCTCATCGTGTGTCCCTAGATGACCTTTGTGCATTGTTGTTTTAGGGGTCATCGTCTCATCGTGTGTCCCTAGATGACCTTTGTGCATTGTCGTTTTTGGGGCATCGTATGTCCATGGGTGACTTTCGTGCATTGTCGTTTTAGGGTCATTGTGTGTCCCTAGATGACCTTTGTGCATTGCCACTGTCGGATGCGCAGCCGCGTGTGACCTTAATGCGTTGCCATGTTGGCTTCCGTTGTCATGTTTTTCCATCTATGGGCCTTTGCATTGCACACACAAGCTTATATGACAAAGACTGCTAGACCGGACGTTGCAACTTGCTAACGGGTGGATAGCTCGGAGGCATCGTAAAACAGAGATAATTAATCGCGGCGTACTTTTGCTTGTCGCGCTGCAGGATCATCATGTCTCTGCAGTCGGTCACGCAGAATCTCCTCGTGCTGCTCATCGGCATGTTCAAGCTGATCGCCGTCAACGCGGAGCACGCCGGCACGGGCATGTCCTCCGAGGCGCTCGGCGTCAGCGTGGCGCCATCTATACTCCACTCCTGCTCGGCGAACGGCCGAAAGGTCGACGTCGACCGATTCCGGCAGGCAGCGAGCATCGTCACATTCCTCATAGACCAGTTCGGCGATTCTGCACTGTTTGGCAGGTACGTCTGTGTTAGTGCCAAACTCTCCTGCTCACGATATTGTGGGTGAGGAGGCTAGGCTGGTGGTGGGTGGAGGAGGGGGTAATGATGAAGCCGCTTTTGTAATGGATGTTTGCGATAAGCGTGAGTCATCTACAGGTATGGAAAATATGTGAAGCGTTCGGTTGATATAATATGGTCAGTAGTCTGATATAGCTAGGTGGAGCTAGTGAAGTGTCTTTGTACGGGTGTATGTAACAGTTCGCAAGGTGTGTTTTATGATCACTATCTGAAATCTAGTTCATATGTTCGTCTATTGAATGAATACATGGCATCTCGGACGGCCCGCTACTATGTAATCGTAACAGATGTGTATCTGTTTGTAGGGATAATTACGAGTACTTTGTGCACACGACTCGTCAACTGTTCGACTCCGATGCTAAGTGGAAGTTCCTGATGCAGTGTCCGCGCACTCCCGACACAGGGGGAGCCACTAGCCGTGACTTAAGCCTAGGTGTCGACAGCTCCATGTCTGGACTAGAACTCGGTGATCTAGATGGTCAGTACTCACTAAGTACTTGTTTGAAACGGTACTATCTTAAAATCTTATGTTCATGTGTAAGCCACTACTTTTGAAGGTGCGTGATATTTCGTGGGAAGGCTGTAGCGATTCGCTGGAAGCGAGTATTACTCACAACACATGGTTACTGACTTAGAAGTTAGAGTTACTGCCTGTAAATGTTACTAGTTTGTTAGTAGGATTTATACATAGCGTTAGACGCATAGAATGTGAGCTAGGGCAGCATGTCTATTGTTACCATATCTTAAAGCAAGTTTTGTGTGGCTGCAGATACAGCAGAACTGACGAAGAGTCAGGAAAGCTTAAGTGCTATCAGCCGGAGTGCAAAGTCTAGCCGTAGTGGATCTTTGGCTACTGTCACGGAGGCTAGCTTAAGGGTAAGCTCAAATATTGTTATGATTTATAATACTATTCTTAACCGTAGAAAGTCTGAGCAAGGTGGGGCAGCATGTGTGGAAGCGTGGTTGTGCATTCGTTCTGTTTACATAGTAGGGAAGGTCGTTCTATATTGTGTACACAGGGGTGTGAAAGTGGGAACCAAGAAGAATGTGGGGGTATGTGAGGCAGCGTAGGAGATGGTTATATGTGGACTATAACGATTGTCAAGGTGTAATTACTCTAGCCAATCGTTGTGGCCATAGGGTATTCTAAAAGAAAATGTTTAACGATGAAGTGCTTCAAAGTCAATCATATGACATGCGTGAGTGAAAAGCACTCACTCACTGGTAAGCTCAAAAATATTGACTGGTCAGATAGGTCAGTTGTCAAGGAGGTAGAGACAGTGTGTGGCGTGCGTGCGTATGTGGTGTGCGTGCGTATGTGGTGTGCGTGCATATATAGTGTGCGTGCGTATGTGGTGTGCGTGCGATGTGGTGTGCGTGCGTATGTGGCGTGTGGCGTATGTGGTGTGCGTGGGCGTATGTGGTGTGGCGGTGCGTGCGTATGTGGGCCGTGCGTATGTGGTGTGTGTGCGTATGTGGCGTGTGTGTTATGTGGTGTGCCGTTGCGTATGTGGTGTCGCGTGCGTATGTGGCGTGCGTGCGATGTGCGTGCGTGGTAT